TTAAAATTTACTGAAAAATATACATGTTTTGACTAGTGATTAATAGCAAATCATGTCCGTTTCTTTAAAAGAATGAATTTGTTCTATTCGGAACATATAAATATAGTATACTGTCTCAAACTGTCAAAATCTGTTAGTTTTTTAAATAAGTAATATTCAATTGATAGAAAAACCGAATCTTATAGCTTTTATTTATAATTGCATGTTGTTGACAATGAGAAGTTGAAAAAAATCGGAAAAATAATTATTATATTCTAAATAATAATCTTAATTGTAAGCCCATAAACAAATAGGTGTTGTTATTCCTCTTACATAATCAAAGAGTTATTCTGTAACTGTATATCGAATTGATGTAAAAAGCATGCTGTTTTTTACAAAAGTAAAAAACTCTTATAAACAAACAGCATGCTAAACTATGGTTTGTGACTTGTATGTGTATGTGATCTATGCAGACAAATCAATTTTATTAATATTATATTAATGATTATTTAGTCACCTAAATCGAAAAGTGGATTTAGGTGACTCAACTCTGTGCCTACAACGCGTTAATATTTTACTATCTGTTACAAACCTTGACATATCAATGACATATATACTTGTACACTATAAAGTTTAAATTGTCAGTTTGAAGTAATTGACATTTGTAAATAAGGCGGGAAACTGCAAGTGCATTGTGTTGATGCTAAAAGTTAAAACGTGAAAATATTTCATAAAATTCTGGTTTGTGACCGCGTTTGCTGTTTGTCGATACTACACTAATAAATGTGAATTAAAGATTTGGTTAACAGGTGTAAGTTTGAATTATTTATTTTATAATTAAAAAAAAGAAAAACAAACACCAAAAGTTATTGAAATGTGTTCTCTTTTTCTAGAAGTTGTAAACGTTTCAGTAAAATTTTATTTTACAGGAAAGCTGTGAATAAGCTGATTATATAGTCAGTTTTTAATACCCACGAAATGAATAAACGAAAACAATTTAAAGGTCCTCCGCCAAAAAGGATTAAATCTAACGATGACGATGAAGATGACATTCCAGCAAGTTTTGAAGACCAACTGGCAGGTATGGAAAGTGACTTTGACAGTCCTGAAATAGTTGGAGATGGGCCTGAAAATCAAAACACTAACATTAAATGGTCACGGCCTAATCCACAAGATATGGATCCAGGCACAACATCATTAATTTTTCAGCAGTTTGATATTGATCATTATAATGGAAAACCTATACCAGGTATGCCAGGCTCACAACTGGCTCCTGTACCAATAATGAGAATGTATGGTATTACAATGGAAGGAAATTCAGTATGTTGTCATGTCCATGGCTTTACTCCCTACTTTTATGTAACTGTACCTTTAAACTTTGATGTATCATCTTGTTTAGAACTTAAGACAAACCTCAATAAGGCTATTTTAGAAGACTTGCGAAATAATAAAGATAGCATAAGAGAAGCTGTTTTAGAGGTCAAAATAGTAAAAGCGAAGTCTATGATGTATTATAAAGGAGATAATCAAATAATGTATGCTAAAGTGTCAGTAGCATTGCCTAAACTAATAGCAGCTGCAAAAAGACTAATTGACAGGCAACCAACATCATTTAGTTTGAGTGATCCTTCTTTTTATGAAACAAATATAGACTTTGATATCCGTTTCATGGTTGATACATCAGTTGTAGGTTGCAGTTGGATTGAGTTACCATCTAAAAAGTGGTCTATTAGAAGTAAATCTGGTAAATTACCACCTGAATCCCGTTGCCAAATTGAAGTTGATGTGGCATGGAATAGTTTTATTTCTCATCAACCTGAAGGGGAGTGGTCAAAAGTTGCTCCTGTAAGGATATTAAGCTTTGATATTGAATGTGCAGGGAGGAAAGGGGTTTTCCCTGAACCTGAAAAAGATCCTGTTATTCAAATTGCTTCCATGGTAATCAGACAAGGAGAAACTGAACCATACCTAAGGAATGTATTTACATTAAATACATGTGCCCCTATAGTTGGGTCTCAAGTTTATAGCTTCCAATCAGAATCAGAACTCTTGTCAAAATGGTCAGATTTTTTCAGAGAACTAGATCCGGATATTATAACCGGATATAACATTAGTAACTTTGATTGGCCCTACTTAATAAATCGTGCAAAACACCTTAAAGTAGCAAATTTTGAATTTTTAGGGCGAATTCAAAACATTAGATCAGTAATAAAAGATTCTGTGCTACAATCTCGACAAATGGGTAGAAGAGAAAATAAATCCATTAATTTTGAAGGAAGAGTTCCATTTGATTTACTTCAAGTCCTTATAAGAGATTATAAGCTGAGATCTTACACATTAAATTCTGTTAGTTACCATTTTCTTCAAGAACAAAAAGAGGATGTCCACCATAGTATAATTACAGACTTACAAAATGAAAATGAACAAACTAGAAGAAGATTAGCAATGTATTGCTTAAAGGATGCTTATTTGCCAATTAAATTGCTTAATAAATTGATGTGTATAATAAATTTCATGGAAATGGCTAGAGTTACCGGTGTACCATTATTATGTCTTTTAACAAGAGGGCAACAAATAAAAGTTGTTAGCCAGCTCCTTCGTAAAGCTAAAGATGCTGGATATTTAATGCCAGCTTACCATGGCCAGGGTTCCGATGATCAGTTTGAAGGAGCAACTGTCATAGAACCTAAAAAAGGCTATTATGCAGATCCCATATCCACTTTAGATTTTGCTTCACTGTATCCAAGTATAATGATGGCACATAATTTATGTTATACTACCTTAATCTCTCCAAATATGCAAAAGGAATTGAATCTTGATCCAGAAAATATTACTATTACACCTCTGAATAACATGTTTGTTAAATCTAATATAAGAAAAGGTCTTCTACCAGAAATTTTGGAGTCACTTTTGGCTGCAAGAAAAAAAGCAAAAGCAGATTTAAAAAAAGAAACAGACCCTTTTAAAAGGTCTGTACTAGATGGGCGACAATTGGCTCTAAAGATAAGTGCAAATTCTGTGTATGGATTTACAGGTGCACAAGTTGGAAAACTACCTTGTCTTGAAATATCAGGAAGTGTTACTGCTTATGGTCGAACTATGATAGAGTTTACTAAAACCGAAGTAGAAAAGAAGTATACTAAAGCAAATGGGTACAAGGAAGATGCTGTTGTTATTTATGGAGACACAGATTCTGTAATGGTAAAGTTTGGAGTAAAAACATTGGTAGAAAGTATGGAATTGGGAAAAGAAGCAGCTGATTTTGTCAGTTCTAAATTTGTAAAGCCGATTAAGCTAGAATTCGAAAAAGTCTATTACCCCTATCTACTAATCAATAAAAAAAGGTATGCCGGTCTTTATTTTACTAGGCCCGATACTTACGACAAAATGGATTGTAAGGGTATAGAAACTGTACGCAGAGATAACTGCCCTCTAGTTTCAAATATGATGAGCATGTGCCTTCAAAAACTTCTTATTGATAGAGATCCTGATGGAGCTGTCTCGTATGCTAAGCAAATAATTTCTGATTTACTTTGTAACCGAATTGATATATCTCAACTTGTGATCACAAAAGAACTTGCCAAAAATGACTATGCAGCGAAACAAGCTCATGTAGAGTTAGCAAATAAAATGAAAAAACGAGATGCAGGAACAGCACCAAAACTTGGAGACAGAGTCCCTTATATTATATGTTGTGCTGCAAAAAATACACCAGCTTACATGAAAGCAGAAGATCCTATATTTGTATTAGAAAATAGTGTGCCCATAGACTTTAGCTATTATTTAGAAAATCAGCTATCTAAGCCATTATTAAGAATTTTTGAACCAATACTAGGGGAAAAGGCTGAATCACTACTATTAAAAGGTGAACATACACGAACTAAAGCAATGGTGACATCTAAAGTTGGGGCATTAGCTGCTTTTACGAGAAAAAAAGAAAAATGTATTGGATGTAAAGTAGTTATATCAGATGATACAAAAGCCTTATGTGATCATTGTTTGGATAAGGAAGGTCAGCTTTACATAAGTGAAATGTTTAAAGTTAGGAATCTTCAAGAAAAGTTTTCAAGACTTTGGACTGAATGTCAAAGATGCCAAGGCAGTCTACATGAAGAGGTTTTGTGCACAAATAGAGATTGTACAATATTTTATATGAGAAAAAAAGTAGGTATGGAACTGGATACACAAGAAAAAAGGGTGTCGAGATTTGGTGAACCCCTTTGGTAATTAATATTCTAATAAAAATATGCACTGTGTTATACTGAAAGAAAATAAAGATGTATAAGTTTTTTTACTTTTAACTTTTATTTCAACCAACTTTAACAAACAACAAATAATTTAATAACTTATTAGGAATTATTATTCATATAGTGTTCAAGCTGGATTTGACTTTTTTATTTAACTTATAAATAATTAATATTAAAAATAAATTTTAATTTATAAAAAATTATTTTAAAGAATATAATCTGCTAGTATACAGCTATCTTTATAGATCTGAAATAATACTTTAAGTACTTATAAAACTTTTTGAAGTTATTAATGTTTTAAACTATAATAATATGATGATAAATACATTGTTTACTTAAATGTAGTATCATAATGTAAAATTGGAATGCACACAAAAGCTACAATAGAATGTAAAAAAATATTCTGTGAAAGATACTAAGATACAGAAAACATCTAAATGTATGTAGACTGAACCTAAATACATATTCATAATAAAGTAATGCAGGGTGCTTTTAAATTTTAATAGTTGAAGCATTTTATTTTAAAATGTATACTTTTTATTTAAACATAAGATATAATATATTTTTCAGTGTCAAGGATATGCCAACAAAATTTTAAGTAAAAAGCATAAAAGGTATCACAGCAATAATTTTAAAGATAATTTATATATACTTATAAAGTGTATTTTACAAATTAGTTATGAATGTAAAATCCATAGCCTATTTTTTAATAAAGAGAAGATGAAATCTTTATACAAAAACTCTTAGATAGAAGGGTATTTTTCCTCGACAACTTTATCTAGTTTCCTGAGATAGAGATCTATTAAGGTTTGTTTTCATATTTTTGCATATATTAGGTACTGGAATTTCAAAGGGTGTTATATTTCCGGTGGCAGTAGTGGTGTATTTCATAATATCTTCTAAAGTCCTAATAAATGTGTCACAAGTGGATTTTAATAAGCTTGATGCTTCATCAAGCTTCTGTAACAAAAATAGAATCATTTGAAAGGAAAACTGTCATAAATGATACTTTAAAACTAACTTAATAAAAATAAGATTCTTATAGTTGACCATACATGTGACTGTTGTTGCATGTGACTAGGTAAATTTTTCCACTAGTATGCTAGTATGAGTAAGGAGCTGTTTTAGAGAACCTAAATTATCCAATTATTAAATATTATATTTTAAAATAAGAACCAAGTTCAAATTCTTCTGTGTTTACCAAGCCTATCATTGGTTTTTATTAGTGACACCCAAGTCAAACATTTCTTTTCTTGAGAGCCTTCCAAATTGAAACATTTTGTTAAAATAACTAGGTTGTATGAGGTATGGGTGATGAACATTGATAAGCAATTTCTTGACTTATTACCTCCATGTCAGGACCAGTTTCCTGGCTAGCTGCACTTTTAACAGCATGCACTTGTTGCATTAATAAATCACAATAAAGATGCAATTCTGATTTCTTATCACTCAAGGAATCTTCAAATCCAATCACTGAAATTTTTTATCATAGGTTCAGTTATAATTTCATTATTCATTGAATTTCAGGCTAATAAGACATAATGGCAGTACCTTTTGAATCAACAATTGACTCCAAACATGCCTTGGCACTACCTAAGGCTACCAACCATTTTTGTCGATCCTGTGGAGATGGTGCTCTAAGGTACATGTGTTGCTGGCCAGGTATTACTAAATCCATTCTAGTGTTATCAATATTATTAACTGAAAATATTTTAATATATATATATATATATATAACTGATTAAGCACACGTCTAATTTAGGAGTATAATAATTCGTTTTAAAATACATACCATTAATTTGACAAACTGAAACTTTCACTGAACCTTTACATCCTTGACTAGCTTCATCTTGAGATTTATAGTAAGATAATATTCCGTTTTCTAATACGAACCATCTCGTCTGCCAGCCTAGAATTTAGTTGATTATGATTTTGAAATTACAATAAATTAAACATATGGGTATTTTATGTTATATTTATTTGAGAGCGTACCGTTCCAGTAATTTGTCCACTTCCACAAAATACCTTCCATTACGTCCCTATAGTTATCTTTATTATAATAAAGAAATATAATATCAAAAACTATAAATCAAATTCATGGAGGGATAACAACAATATTTTGATATTTATTTTCCCATCTTCAATATTTTTAATTTTTGGTGAACCTAATAACTTGACAAATTTCAAATGACATGACAATTGTGAATTGAGTACAGATTATAATATATAAAGGTGGGATCGAATCCTACCATTTCGTACGATCCATAAATAATTCAGTATAAGTATTCATATAACCACAGGGTTATATCACTATAACTTATATTGCATTCCTAATTTCATTTTATTAGTTGATATCAATATTTTTGGTAGGAAACTTATGCGGTGACTTGTAGTTACTGAGGCGGTCTGCTATTACCGTGCTATTCTGTGAAGTAAACAACGAAGAAGTCGCCAAGTGCCCAAGAGACTTGTATCTAGCTTCAATAAATGTATGCAATACGTTTAAAGAAGTCTGTGAACTAATCATCTATTCTAAACCACCGCCCTTGTTCTTACTGGTTTTTTTGTAACTTTATAAACAAAAATTAAACCGCATTTAGTTTGAGTCTTTACAAATCCAAAAATTTGTATCTTATATTTTTTTTAGTAGAGCGACCTTTACTAGAGAACTTCCTTGTCGATTATTAGTTGGAAATTAAGTTACAACAATTCGATTTATTAAGATAGTGTTATTTGATTTCACTAAAAACCGCCTAAAATGGTTAATTTAAGTTCTATATTGATGCTAACTCTTATACAATTGTATATCTTTGTTAGTACAGGTATGTTTTGCAGTGGAAAAAAATATAAAGTTTTCATACCCCTAAACTAAACACCACATTGTATTTCAGTGAACTCGTTAGAATGTTACGTTTGCGAAAACCAAGAAGACAACTCCGAGAAATGTGCTAAAACTATTTTGACCTGTGAATATAATCAAGATGTTTGTTTGACTGAGATCAAATGGGGCAGTACACCCTATTGGTCTCAAGGTGCTAAAAAGCAATATTATGTGTCTAAGAGATGTTCCAATAAAACAGAATGTGCTATGACAAGACAGCGCTATATGCCTTTGTGTACTAACATTTGGTATCAAGACTGGGTATGTTCAGATTGTTGCCAAGGAGATCGTTGTAATTATTATATTATTGTAAGTATTCATATTTTTTTCTTTTTCTAATTTTATTTAGAAATATTAATACAAAAAGGTAACAATTTAGTTTACAATATTAATTGATGGGGTTTTAATTTTTTCTGTGCTTATTTAGTCTCATGAAGGTTTTATTTTTTAAATAATAAATTTGTCTCTGTTTCAGAATGATGGTTCAAGTAAGAAACCTCTCATTATCACGGTACTTTTTGGAGCAGTTTTTACCATTATTTATGGTATCAGCAAATATTAGGATATGCATTTTAGTGAGCATTTCTTTTGCACAATATGAAATTATTTATGTATAACTAATTAGAATAGTAATGTCTTCACAATGATGAATATCACTTGCATACTGATGTAATGCGGCAAGATATTGTTGTGGTAGGGTAAAGTTTGTGACCAACACATTCTGCACTGTGTATCTGAGTACTCTTGGCTGTTTACCTGCTAGAGTTGTAGTTGAACAATGCTTAATTTTACGTTTTGTAAGGAATTCCGTCCCAATATTTTTAATAATGATGTTATGTATGCATTTTGATTTAATTTTGCATTTTATTAAATAAATTATCCATAAGATAAAAGAGATAACTTTAAGTTAGCCTTAGGTAATTTTGTGTTCTGATTTTTTGCAATAAGATTATTGTCTAAATAACTAAATGACTGTTACCTCCGTCCTTTTTTACAATTGATATAAGAGCAAAATATATTTTTTAAATTCTTCATTTTATTTCATTCTCTTAAGCCATTTACAATTTTGCAATTTTGAGAAGCAGACTTAAATTTAGTTTTGAGATCTGTGAAACTATTATTGACAACTTTGAAACAAGATTGTGACTTGAAATTAGTTTTAGAATACAGGCTTACAATTATTTTTATAATTACAAAGAAATCAAGAATTTTCCTCTAATACTTGACAAGACAAAAAAGAAGATCACAGAGAAGGATAAAAAATTATGGAAGTCTAATTTTGTCATTCAATCACAGGCTTTTAGTATTACAGATGTAGAGACTATTCGGTGAGAGAGACACTCGTCAAGACTAAAATGATTTTTTTTTACGTACAGGAATTAATCCTTGAAGTAACGCTTCGAAACAAAAGGTTTGCCAAATGCCAATTTAAATGATTGCCGATGTCGGCCACTGCTAGGGTTAGTAACCCCACATGCATCGCCTTAGGTGGTCTGAGTTTTCTTTTTTTTAACTGTGTAGTTTATACTCTCAAATTGATCTCTAGTCGAGGACTCTTCAGCTCTCGCCTAGAAGTGCTGAGAATTGCATACATATAATATTACTCTGGTACTTCATAGTTCCATACGGTGAAATGCGAATTCAATTTGTATTTTGAAATTTGAATCCGTGATGTGAAATGTCATACAAAATAACGACAGATAATTTGTTTATTGTCACTGTTATGCTGACGAATGCTGACTGCGACAGATGAACTGACGAATGACGGCTAATGGCGGTTGTAGAAGAATGAAGTGGTAGACGAAAGCTGAATAATTGACGTCGGCCTGATTGTAATAAGTGGATTTTCTAGATGATTCGTTAATTAAAGTAAAAAGTGAAATTCATATAAAACTATCAAGACAAAAATCCAACATGAATACACATAAACTTTTAGGGACACTTATTGTTTTGGTAAGCACGACATTGTTTAATTCTATGCTTTTGAATCGATTACAATTTGGACACGTATATGTAAACGATTTACAGTTTATAGCCAATTAATTAACAATTTCTCGCTGTTAATTATGCAAAACTTATGTTTCAGATATGCCACACTTTTTATAACCCAACTGATAGTGGAGCTGTACAAATTACACAAAGTAATTTAGATATGGTTTTAGGTAAGGTTGCTGTTTTAAGTGTCTAGTGTATTTATTTATTTACAATTATGTAATTGTAATATACTTTAAATTGTATTTCAGCTTCAAATGAAATTGTATTTATTAATTTTTATGCTGACTGGTGTAAGTTCAGCAATATGCTGATGCCTATATTTGATGATGCGGCGGACGAAGTGTCAAAAGCCGGCTATGATCCTGGACAAGTGGTTATGGGGAAAGTTGACTGCGATAAGGAACCTTCTGTAGCTACAAGATTTCATATTACCAAATACCCTACTTTAAAATTATTCCGAAATGGATTACCAGCTAAAAAGGAGTACAGAGGTATTTTACTGTTCTCAAAGAACCATAGAACTGTTTTAACCAATTTAAGATTCTGAATTGTTTGGTTAAAAGTCACAATTTGTACAAGGCATGATGTTAACCAATTTGTCTTTTAGTATATGTAATTCAATAATATTAAGAATTATTTTTGAACCCCTAGTAAAATCATCTGTGTGTTTAAATAGTAAAAATATTAATGTATAATCAATAGTTATACTTTTTATAACTGTAAAAAGTAATTTGATTTGTTTTAAAGTGCACTTAAGTGAACTTTAAAGCTAGGGGTATTGAATAATTTAGATTAGATTATTGCAAATATTATTTTTAAAGATAAAATATGCCTATTTCAGGTCAGAGATCTGTAGAAGCTTTTGCAGAATTTATTAAGAAGCAGCTGACTGATTCAGTTGTAACATTTAGTTCTTTAAAAGAGCTTCACAGCTTGGCGGAAGATAAGAGGCACATCATAGGGTACATGGACAGAAGGGATCAAAAGGAGTATGAAGTATTGCGAAAGGTGGCTGCTACTTTGAAGGATGAGTGTATATTTCATGCTGGATTTGGTGACGCATCTCAACAAATGCATCCACCAGGTATGGAATATTTAAATATGTTTTTTTATAAAAAAAATTACCTATTTTAATATAAGTCCCATAATAGAAACTTATTGCCACCTCCCCTACTAAGTTGATAAAACATATGGGGTAAAAAGTTAATGTTTCGGTTTAGAAGACCTACTTGCCAATAACAAAGATTATTCACAAACTGATATAAAACTGTATCTCTTATTAAATTTTACTCTTGTAGGCCCAAAAGAATTGAAATATATGGTTTCATCTAAATATTTCTACTGAATATTTCTTTGAATTAAGGCCAAAACTATTTGTAACTTGCCATTCTATAATTTTTTCAATTTGAAATTTGCATAAATAAAGAAAAAGTTAATGTATAATTTGTCATTGAATTTTATGACTAACACTTACTTAACACACACACTGTGCACTTTCATTTTAATTTGAATTGATAGGCTTATACAATACTGAACTTAAAAAGTTTAACTTATTCACTGGTATAAACTTGTTTGCTGTCATATTTTATAAATTTGGTTCAATATCTAACAAAAGTTTGTCAACAACTAATTATTTAATTATTGCTAATTATTTAACAAATACCTTGCTTAAACAGTAGCTAGCTTTATAGTACAAACATCATGTTCAATAAACTTTCTAAGGACATTCTGAAACATTGAAAACCCATAAAGACAATTAAAATCATAATATTGTTTTTTTTTTATTTTGCTTAAATTATTTATTAATTAATTATGTTTCATATGTAAAATGTTACCCAATGCCATGTGGTTTTTAGATATATTTTTTACATTTACTTTTAAGTTTTTCATACATATTTTTTACTATACTACATTTTGGAGCACTAATAACTGAGTTTTATATTAAATACCAAACGTAAGAATACTAAAAGTACTCATAATAGTTCTTCTTTAAATATAAATTTCTAACAGTAGAATTATATAAAGAACTAGCGGCTCATGTATTGTTTGACATGTATTTTTTAATGTTCTTTAATCTTGTGGAACATTTTTTTGTTCTATCATCAATAGTTTTCGCAGCGCATGCCATGAAAGATATTTTATAAGCATTTTTTTACACCTTAAAATAGCTTATATTAATCAGTGATAATGTAGCATTCAAATGGTGAAAGAACTTTTAAAATCGGTCCAGTACTTTTTGAGCCATTTAGTTACTAACATCCTTACATATAAATCTTTCCTCTTTATAATATTAGTACAGATTATGTGTCAAAACTAAATTGTTAATTTACTGATTTGTAAGAAACAGCTTACAATTGACTTATAATTAACAACTTCAATCATGTAATAAGATTTTTAATTACGGCTGTGATGTTAAAAAACAATTGTTATTTTCCAGGACAACCAATTGTTGTCTTCAGAACTGACAGGAAAACGTCTGCAGATCCTGATGAAACTTACACGGGATCTCTATTAGATTTTGATCAGCTGCATAGTTGGGTTCAGAAGAAATGCATACCATTAGTCCGAGAAATAACATTTGAAAATGCAGAAGAACTCACTGAAGAAGGGTTGCCATTCCTGATTCTGTTCTATCATCCTGATCATCCGGAGAGCATTAAGAAGTATAAGGAAGTTGTTTCGATGGAACTGGAGTCTGAGAAACGTATGTAAATAAAATACAATTGTCAAAAAAAAACAATAATAATTATATAATTCAATGCAGCAATAAAGGCGACATCTAAACCTAATATGTAGATTTTTAGATCTAAGGAATTCCGGTTTCTTTACATTATTTCCCTTTAAGAAAGTTTTTCCAAAAATCCACTCTATTGAAATTACTGGCTTTTGATTTGAATCTGTCAAAATTCAACTAGCCTTTAAAAAAAATAGACACAATATCTTAACCTATCTAATAATAAATAATCAATGTCGCTCAGTATGAGATTATTTATTTATTTACAGGCAGCTTTATTAGTAAGTGTTATCTTACAAATTCGAACTTTGCTACAGATCTAGATAGAATGCTAAAAAACCATAAAAGGAACAACATGAAATACCAACCCCATTAGCCAATTTAGATCGCCTAGTGTATGCATATACTTTTTCATGAGTTTTAGGTTTAGTTTTTTTTTAAATAATATACTAACACTAATCTGTAAGGTTATACTAACATAATGATGGATTATTTTGACTGAACAAATAAATAAAATAATAATAATAATTACTCATAAAGTCTGTCTAATTGCATTTAAACTAAACATCTCATCTGTCTCTTTTTAACACAGAGATAATACAATTTTGGGGGAGGGGGGGGGGAAACCCCCCGTTAATTTGGGTTTTTTTTTTTCTCTTTCCTTTTCACACAATTTTAAAGAGAAAAAAAACTCTTAGATTAGATTTAAAAATTATTATGCATGTTACAGAAAATGTCAACTTCTTGACTGCGGATGGAGTGAAGTTTGAACATCCTCTGCATCACCTTGGCAAGTCGGTGGCTGACCTGCCTCTGATTGCCATTGATTCCTTCAGGCATATGTACCTGTTCCCCGATTACAAGGAGATGGACAAGCCTGGCAGACTAAAGGAGTATTTGAAAGATTTGTATTCCGGAAAATTGCATAGGTAATTATTTTAATTACCGTTTACATGTGTTATTTTGTTAAAATATTATAACACCTCTATAAAAGCGATGTGAGTCTGATACAAACTCATTGTAATATATTGTTAAACATATATTTAAATTATTGCAATTCCTATCAGGTAAATTCCAATTTATCAAACAATCAATGTCATCGGAATTGGTTCAGTAGTTTTTGAGATATCGGTATACACTACAGTATAGTAAATAAATTATATAGTTAAAAACGTTTGTTACGTTCAGGTATGGGAGCATTCAAGTTCTTCTATGTATTACGCCCCGTAACGTTTTTCTGTACCCAAGTATAGTAAAACGTTCCGTTACCACCCAGTGACTCTTTATACCTAAAAGTTACCATTATGTGGTGTAAAGTACTAGAAAGTCGAAAATAATATTAACAATAACGCGTAATTCAATCCTCGCCCCGCATCGTAACGTTTTACAAGACAGACCCCCCCCCCCAAATTCGTTACGTCATACTTGAATGCTCCCTCCTATTTGATTTTTTTAAATATATTAATTATTACATTAAAATTTACAGAGAATTCCACTACGGCCCGGAATCGCCCCAAGTGATTATGGTAAATAATGAAGTCAAGGTGACCACACCTCCCGAGTCTACCTTCAAAAAGTTAGCTCCGTCCAAAAACAGGTACACCCTACTCAGAGATGAATTATAATTCGATTTCATTTCTAACTTATTTATTTGAATGAATTTTTTAAATGTACAAAACGCAAAATGTTCTTATTTCGTGAATACCCTTACTTTATTGTCTTCAAAGTGCTGTTTTGTTTATAAGAATCTAAAGTCCTTTTAAAAAAATCTAATTATTTTAACTAAAATCGGTCTCTTTTCATCTGAGCGTACCGACAATGTGACAGAAAAAGACAAAAGAGTTAAAAGTGCAATTAGATTTTTTTATTTTTGTGAATTATTTCATAGTTTTTATAGAATATTAAAATTTTAGGTAGGAAAATCGAATAATTGCAAATTTTTAAACAATTTCTGTAATTAAATGTTTAAAAATTATATTTGAGTGTCTTTGAACATCTTCACACATGTTTTTTTCCTTAATTTGTATAAAACAATTATATTTTGTATGAAGATTTCCTAAAATTGATTAGCCCTATGGTTATACGGCATTTTTATTAAAAATATTCAGTTTATTGTACCGTTGAAAAATACTTTACACATTGGTCACGTGACATACAACTTAGCCTTAAAAAATCACTCTTAATATCAATATAGCCCAAGTTTGTTAAATTCTTTAAAACTAGAGGGCGCTATTACCACTTACCCGATAGCGTTTTTGCTTAATCGTCAAAGCTTTGAATATGATAAAGTAACAATGGCGCGATGTACAGGAAATAAGATTACGAGTCTCATATATGAATTGCGAATGAACTTGGCTTATGTATACACTTAATTGTTCATATCTGAGGATTGTTTAATTACATTAAATTCGTGATTTGTTAGTCTATTGCATTGTGTTAAATCGTATACAAAATATTAAAATAAAATCGTAGAAAAAGAACTTTTGTTTTGATTACAAAGCATATAGCTGGCATCATCTTGTGTTAGGAATGAAATACGCAAAAATGTCGGCTGGGAAGTAGTATTTTATTTGATTGCAATAGTAAATATTTAAATTTACTAATTTCTATAAATTTCTGAATAATTTTAATTATTATATTAAAAGTGGTTTTACATTACAATTACAAATATGCATTTATGTAGATCAACTGCGCATTAAATTATATTTTATTTCTTCATGGTTTATTTTATATCTACCCGTTAGCTATATTAGTTAAATCATTACTATATGTGAATAGATATGGAATATTTTATTATTGCCTATGGTATTATAAAATAATATTAATTTTTCTACTTAAATTCCAAGTACAAAGATATTGTTTACAAATAAATTCTCTGCTGAACCGATATAAAATTTAGTAAATTAAATCAAAAACAAACGAGAGTTATCTTTTTATTATACTTGATTATATCTAATCTTTGATTTAATCATTATATCTACTCTGATAGAAGATGGTTGCTGATTTCTAAACGGCATTAGTCAATTGTCACTATGTCAATTGTCATTGTGAAATGCGGCGCCATTCCTCGATATTGTCAAACATCATTTTGTACTTGGGAATTAAATTAAAACATTTTATTAAATGTAAATAATTATACGAACTTGCATATTTTTTAAAACTCGCAAATCATTTACCCTCCAGTACACCAAGGAGAAATTATAATGTATAATTAAATATTATTATTATAAAATAGGCTTAAATATAGATTTAAATGTATTAAAAAATCTTTCAACGCACATTTTGTATTGCAAAATATGATGTTATAAATGAGTTTGTATACAGAGAATTGAAAAACTTTTTTTGATCTAGTGGAAAAAACAGATACCGTTAGTGCCAATAATACACTATAGAGATAATATACCAACAACGTTTTAGCATGGTACACTTTCGCATTTATAATATTAGTTTTCAATAAGAATTTTGTTTGTTTTATTTTCTCCATTTGAGTCAGTTTTTCTGTTATTTATCTTAGACAAGTTTCACTGCAAATTAACTCTATCATCTATAGTTCGAGTGCAGTCTATTTCCCTTCCTTGTTAAATTTCTATCGTATTTTGACAGAATTCTGGCCTTAGGAAGAAAAGTAGAGATAACTTAATAACTCCTTTGTTAAAACTTTTGACAGCTCTTGGAACTTGACACTCTCTGGCACTGACAGATGCGAGAGTTAACTTGCAATTTCCTTAATTTTAGCTAAATAGGTTTAAATGGTTCTCGGTTTTGGTATACGCTTTTAAATATATTTTCTTTGCGATATATCCACGAATAAAATATTGGTACTAATACTCATGTACTTTTAGTTCTAGAGTTTCTATAAAAATACTACTAATTACAAGTATTTTTACAATAATTGTTTTACCAAAATGTCACTCATGCATTGACAATTAACACCTCAATGAACCAGGATTGATGTACAGCAAACCAGTTAGTATTATTTTAAATTAAGAATAAACGTGTGTGACAATTATTAGATTATCCCAGTGCATTGTGCAATACTCGCGAAAAAGACAATTATAGTTAACATTAGAATTAGTACCAATATGCCTTTTTGAATTTTACCAGTCTTACTAGATTCTCAGGTATTCCAAAATGTATTAATCCGGAATAAGAATTGTCAATTATACTCTATCTCCCTCATTCACAATAGCTATTTGATTGTCCTTATCGCTGGTAAGACGTTGTTACCATGGTAACCATTTTACACGGAATAAACATCGTTGCCATAGTAATAAAAGAGTTTGAGCCGATTGTAGTATGAATAGTACACTGGTTTAGAATGCGTTTTGGAATATGGGCTCAGACCTATTGATTTGTATACGGCTTATACAAATCAATAGGTCTGAGCCTAGACTTCGCGATAACTAAGTTAATGTCAACTTGTATTTAGATTTTGACATACACGAGTCAAGATTCTGAGTTCGCGCCACGTCTCGGCTCTAAATCTTACCTTACGGTAGCACTCAGAGTAGTCAATTAAGAATAAAAAGGTCACTTAAAGCATTTAGTAACTTAAGTTGACTATAGATCCATTCAGAATCTAAAAGAGCCTCAAGTTATGGGGACATTAAATTTCCTAGCTAAGTTTATATATAATCGACCATTATAGAAAATTGTCGACTCTGAGTACGGCTGATTTAGTATATCACTATGTGTCAAAGCAATAGATAATCAGTAAATTTAAATACAATGTGTAAATGATTGTACAAATTGTATGTTTTGTGAAGCGTGTAATAAAATTTTTAATCCTTTTTTTGTTATTTTATTTTAGCCTCTAATAGTTAAAATTTCTCAATTATGTCAGTGTAAGAAAAACCTATTGCCCTAACCTAGAACCTCTAAAGCTATGTATTAATTTATTTGTACAATAAAAACGATTTACATAATAAACAAAAACATAGCACTTTGTATTTTATTGTTTATTATGTACCCGGCGCGGCGGCCTCGCCGGTATTAAGCGATCTCATCCAGGCAAAACTGATAATAGAAAATATAAAAAGAATAGTATGCAAGTGTGAAACTAATAAAACAATCATATAAAAATAATACAGACAACTGAACTTCGTTTTAATGACTACAAAACCAAACTATTTATTGTTTTCGAAACGACGTCAGTACCTCGGTAGTAAATACAACAGTACTTGATACTTGAAACAACGATTAGGTATTTTAGACAGAAATTAAATCCATCCCTATGTTGAGATCTATTAACCCAAGAAGGTATAATTACTTTTAAGTGCGTGTATTTATTTATCTTAAAGTATGATCGCATAGAAGAATATCCCAAAATGTAAAACTATGAATAATATGAATTCAATTTTTTTATTACCCTAGTTATGACGAGGGTCCCTCAACGGCGTCAAATGTGTCATTAGGAGTATCATACGGACTGTTGTGTAAAACAAACTGTGTTCGGGACATCGTTTTTGCCAGTTTTTGTCCATTTGGTCTATTTCGGCTGTCAGTGACTAAAGAGATAATCGTTTGTGGACCGCCGCTACGCTACGGGGAGTCGTTTGGCGAAATTCTCGTGATTTAATTTTTTATATCTTTGCACTACTATAGTCTATTCTAGTATTTGCTTTTACCGATACTTTGTCTATAAAAGTGTAAAGTTTCGTTTTTACTACGGATTTAATTAAATTTAAAATTATTTTTTGTTATTTTTGGGTAGTTTTCTATATAAGTATTTTTTTTTTGTGCGTTGTCAGCCTTGAGGGAGGCGCATATTCTTTGCGATAAAAGAAATAATTTATATAGATATAAATATTTTGTTAGCTACTTATAAGAATAGCTTGTTATTATTATAGCTTCGAGAAGAAGTTGGCAAGAATTTCATTTATTTTTTACATTATAAATACAAAAGTAGAATTTAACACACATACACAAAATTTATAGACGAAATCATCAATAGTATATTTAAAGTAACATTAGCTTAATTACCTGCAACAAGATCTGTTTAAGGCTGCTTAAAGTGATAAGGTCTAATTGCTTGAGTATTGTTCTCGAGATAATAATTAATAATCTGCGATTAAAGATAAATTAATTATCACCTCTAAAGTCCAAGATTTTCTAGTAAAAACTGCCGTTTAACACATGTTAACCTATACCTTTTTATGTCAATATTCGATACTTATAAACTGCTCAACTTTTAACATTATTACAATAGAGTTACATGAATAGGGAACTCCGTGCGAACCTGCCAGGCTGTATTGTGAACAGGTACTGAGTTATCTTGTTACACATTCATCTATTCACTCCTTTGAATGAATTTGATACTTTGCGAAGTTCCGATCAGATAACATCAGTATCCATAGACTTATTAAGTGACAGATGAAGAATACTTCAGGCACTTACCATGTTTATTAATTAATTTTTAAAGGAAAGAGGCTATCTTTGTTTTATCTAAGTAGAATTGTTGTTTCTTCGAATTGAATCTTGCGTTTAAGCACGTAATTGAAGTCGTGGAGATTTTTCTTCTGTAATACCCTAGATTCGCAAATCCGAACACAATGATGACAAAAATGAATATAAAATTAAATCGGTAAAAAGTAACAACTGTGGCACGTGGTGCAGTTGGGTCCAATTTCTGATGAAACTTAAGTTTCGAGGCAGAGACAAAACGCTCATCATCTCCTTACCTTTGGCCTGTCTTCTGTCTAGCAAACAAAAATCACAATTTTTTAAAGAGGCAGGCTGAAGTCTTTCGACAATATCGCCCAGTCAAAGAAAATTGTGAATGACAAATTTGAAATTAGAATATAAATCCTAAATGAATCAATAAATACAAAACAGAATCACAGTAACTGAGGTTGTATCGGCCAGTAGCAACTGAGAAGATCGTGCAGTTCCGCAATTACTATTTAATCAAATAATTACGCAGGACATAGCGAAACTAAGAACGTGTATAGCTAGTTATTTTGTCATTATTGAAATTGCTGTTGGCTACTCATTTAATTTTCTATGGATTCCGTGCTTTAGGTGTATAAAGGAGCTGGTTTGTTCATGTTTATTTGTTCAGCATATTTCGTTAAGTAGATAAATATGAATGTGAGATATGAAACGGTGCGTTATTAAATGATCACATTGCAAATGTGAAATTTAATTGTGAATTAAATTCTCTCTAGAATGCTATTTGGCCACTATTTATCTACTTCCTGGGGATTGTTACAATTGTTGAGGGAAACGTCTTTACATGTTCATCAATGGTTATCGTCGAAGCTTGCTTTACGCATGTAACCACGATTTTTTTAATACAGGAATCAAACGGGCAGAAGGCTCATCTGATGTTAAGTGATACCAAATGGACACTAAATGCCAAAGGGGTCGCGAGTGCGTCGCCGGCCTTTTAAGAATTGGTAAGAGACTTAAACAATGTAAATGTGTTACTTTTTGTATGAAAAAAGTAAAGCCTTTTTTCAATTAATGATGCTATAAATTTTAGTTATTATAAAAAAAAACTAATAATACGCATAAATAATGTCTTCTCACATATACAATATAAAATATTTTTCGCGCAAACCACAGACAATTAATAAGTATTTATCCTTAACTGATGGCATTTAACATTGCAAGGCGTGGGTGCCATTCGGACCGCGACAATACATGCAATTTGACACCATCTTGTCGGTACTTTGTAGAAATCGGGAACTCGGGCGCTAAGCAAAAGACAGGAAGTGGAGGACAACGTACGATAAAGCCAATTATCCGCCCTCGATATATGAAACCAGCAATTAGTGTAAAATATACTGAGCGGAAGCGCGATGCTGGTAGCTTTCGGACCACGGATCTGTGATAATCTTTATACGCGAATATGAGCGATCAGTTTTATTTGCTCTCAAACATCACACATGTTACAAGAAGGACAATCATATACTTATGAATATATGTTATACATATGTGAAAATAACACGAGAACTTAAGAAGGCGTCAGACCAGATCAATGCAACTTTCTCACAGTCGAGCCCGCGATATCTGAGCACACAACTCACGAGGTGACTCTTTGTATTGAAGGCGCAATGGTCCGCCAAGCATCCGCGAATATACACAATTATGTAGGAAAGCAGAGCAGTGTTGGTCTAGGGGCTTCAGCGTGCGAATCTCATCCCTGAGGTCGTAGGTTCGATCCCCGGCTGTGCACCAATGGACTTTCGTTCTATATGCGCATTTAACATTTGACAGCGTTTTTGTCATAGGCAAGCTGTTATTAACAATAGCAACAATATTATTCAAACATTTTACTATATGTTAAGATAATTGGTTTATTTATTTTTTAAGCTTGATGACCTTGATTACGCAGACACGTAGATAGGCAAACTGAAAGACCTGAAGAAACAGCAAAAGCGGGACGCGAAATAAATGTTCGGACCCCCTAAAATGCGCACTGAAAGGAGGAACCAAAATCCTCTGATACTCGGCTCGGAGTCCAATAGTGCAGTTTACCTACCTCGGAAGTGTCATAGCCACAGTCCGGTGGAACTGATGAGGATATTCTCTCTAGGACAGCCAAAGCTAGAGCCACAACTCACACGTGGGGTGAAGATTAAAATCTTTGGCTTCAACATGTTTTGCTGTGTGATGCCAAACGCGAATCCAGATGTTTGTTAACCGGCGCCCTCTGCCTCACCTACCCTAGGTATATAGAAAAATATCAAGTTAGTTAATTGATAAATTTAGTATTGTAAAAATAATTAAATGTGTAACAGAGGCTTTTTAATGAAACTAGACACGCAAAATTTGAATTTTATAAACACAATTAATATACCTGTCCACGTTGCAGACATCATGAATTACATTTGCGTATCATATTCATAACATAGAACTTAGTGAATACCTGTGACGCAGTTGGCAATAGTTGCCATGGCAACCAGTTTTGTTAGTGATCGAAAACAATCGAAGCTACCGCATTCATTAACAAGTGTATGTAATCTATCATTTGCCTCCACTGAATGAGCCGACGACAATTCGGCTGTCTTGTCCCGCTGTGAATTTTTACTGAACAAAAAAACGGTAGCTAAGATTTATGGCGTGAGGAGCGATCATAGCGCATTAGTAGTTACAATTGTACTTGTGTTGTGTATTCAAAGGACTCCGACTTGGAACAGTAGCCGCTTTTGTTCGACCTTTTAAGCGCTTTTTTACCTAGGACACTATTATATCGCTTGTTGTTCTTTTGACATTTTGGTATCGTCATAAACATGTCAACAGGTTCACTTGTAATACAGGTTTAGTTCTTAGAAAAATCTAGTTATAGTTATACTAAATTTTATGGTTATATTATACAAATTGTATTAATAAGTGGTGTGAGAAATTATGGTACACAAATCGGGACTATCAATATTTTAAAATTAAATCTAGATATTACGTGTCTGTTAACCTACTGTGGGTGCTTTGTTCGGTGCTTGATCCGATTAAAAAACAGAAGAATTATAGTATGTGCGCTATAGCATGGTGCGGGTGACAGTTCCAGTACACACGTTTCGTTACACTCTTGAAAGTTGCCGCGATTTACAAATTATGACTAAGTATTTCAGCTGTACCACATTCGTAATATATTAAATCATTAATAGTAGGTAGTAACTTAAATTTAACCCAGCCAGAATGTTCTAGTATACAAATGAAATCAAATTGAAAGAAAAATTAAGCAACTATCACCCGCACCATGCTACAGCGCGCGTAGTATATTTGGGTTTTGGAATATTAAAAAAAATCTGTGGCGCTACAACCTCTTTAGGTCTGGGCCTCAGATTTCTGAATCTGTTTCATGATCATTTTTCAATCTAATAGGCAAGTTGGTGATCAGCCTCCAGTGACTGACACATGTCGTCGACTTTTTGAGTCGAAGACGGTTTACTCACAATGTTTTCCTTCACCGTTCGAGCGAATGTTAAATGCGCACATAGAAAGAAAGTCCATTGGTGCACAGCCGGGGATCGAACCTACGACCTCAGGGATGAGAATCGCACGCAATATAAAACTATTCTTTTTTCTTGTAACAAAGGTCTTCATCCTTATTATTAAACATGAATAATACAGACGTACAAATCAGTACAATATCTACGCGATATACTTACAAGGTTTCTGGGTTGTTTAAATTTTATTTTGATTATATGTATTTGTAAATAGAAAAGACTATTTAATTTCAATTTTAATGTCTTAAATATTGGCTTAATTTAATGTTATTATATTTGACACCACCGACTGTAGACAAGAGCGATTAGAAAAATAAAAATAATGAGAAAAGGTCGGCGCAGAGAAAGGGAACGTTCCCTAGCGGTGTTGAAACAAAAGCAAGAGAAACGATTTACAAACTGCCATATTTTAACAACGTATAATTAAAGGTTTGGCTCCACTCGAATATGCATAAATCATGCCTCTGCCGCGAACTGCCGACCGAAATAGAGAAAAAATTAACTCACAGCCTGGGAGTTGGAGAAACATAATAACTATTTAAAATTAGTAGATAAGAAATCTAATTAAATGCTTAATCTTGTCTTTTGGTTTAGTTATACGAGGCTTTACATGAAGACTCGTTAATAGCGAATGATTGTTTTATCTGTCACACTGTAGACTGTAAAGAATTTCAACTGTCAAATAATGTATTATTTAAATAAAATAATTTGCTTATTACTAGAAACTTACTTTAAAAGTATCCAAATAGTAAGTCTCAGTAATATCTAGATGTTAGGTACATTATTTGTTATGACATATTAATACCGAACGTCTTTATGAATAAATTTTGGAAAAATATAATATGTTGTGTCATGTATATTTTTATTTATGGCGCTTAGGAATTAAGATCGCCTCTGCTTTAAAAGGTGTCGTTTCTTATATGAACATAAGGAAAGCTCACAGTTTTCTCTCTCAAGATTATAAGCTCATAATTCACGGGCGGGGCGGGGTGTGTCGGAGGCTGCGGCCGGGGGTCGGCTGCGCGCGCGCATCGGGGCCCATGGGTCTTAAGGGGAAGGGGTGCGGGGAGAGGTGACAACCGCTCGTTACGTCTATCCCAAGGCAGTTATTAAAAACGTCTCGGCGCGAGTGGTGCGCCGCCCTGTAATTATCCAGTTGATTCTCGCACTGTTGTCACCAAACTTACCGGATATGCAATACGTAGAACCACCCCCTCAACAGGTATGTTTAGTGATACTATATGGATTGAATTAGGTTATCAATAATTTATCTAATTAAATTAATAGACAAAATAATTTTATAGATATGTATTATAGATAAAATATACAAAAGTTTAATACTCTTGAAAGTGTAATAATAAAATACTTAACTATTAATGCAAAAATAATAAAATTGTAAGAAACCTTTAAAATAAATGTACAGTAATTAATTGTGATTCTTGTAACTTATTGACGTTATTTTCAGATGGTGATGATGAGTGGCTACGGTTGTGGATATGGGCGGAGTGATGCCATATCTCCTGCTTCAGATCTCTCGTCATGCAGCAGTGCTTCATCAGGCGCCTGGTGTGGCTCGACATGGCGGGAGTTACCACCCTATCCGCAATACCCAGCCTACTGGCCCACGACAACTACCACGGAAGAAACTCGGGAGCTTCAACGCAGATGTGCTAAATGCCGCTGCCCCAACTGCCTGACTGAGGCCGCTGGATTTGGCCCAAACTACGGAAAGGATGGAGCGAAGCGAGAACACGTGTGCCATGTACCCGGATGTGGAAAAGTGTACGGAAAAACTTCGCACCTTAAGGCCCATCTGCGCTGGCATACTGGAGAGAGACCGTTTGTGTGCAACTGGTTATTCTGTGGAAAGAGATTCACTCGTTCTGATGAGCTTCAACGTCATCTCCGAACTCATACTGGGGAAAAGAGGTTCTCGTGTCAGTTATGCTCTAAGCGGTTTATGCGCTCCGATCACCTCGCGAAACATGTGAAGACCCACGCCAATGGGTCCAAGAAGGCAAAGAAGACAAAAGAAGAAGAGAAAGTGGAGATGACAAAACCAGAAAATAAAAGTGAAGCAGTGAGTGAATTGGGCAGTGTTAACTGTGGTACGGTGCCGATGGTGAGCCCACCTAAGCCGATGTTGAACTATGCAGCACCAGCTCCCATCAACACGACTAACTACCACAGTGGGCCTGTATTGGGAAGTGGGGTTGTTTATGGAAATGGATGGTGTTCGGATGTACGGCAAGATTCGTTGTATGCTCGTTCGACACCCAGAGACCCGCGTTTCTACCAGCAGTACGCACCAATAAGTGCTTACCAGTGTGCCTCGAAGGATAATTATTCAATGTTTCAGGGGCATTACAGCCTACAGCCTTCAGTTGCCATCGGACAGTGATAAAAAGCTTAAAAACTTTGTAAGAACTGCAACATATTGTGAACTGTTGTGCGATGATTGTATTATATAGCTATTGTTAAGTTACCATTAATGTGAATGAGATGTGCCTTGATAAATGTTATTCTAGTTTAATAAATACTTTGATTTTAATATATGTTTTATTTTCCCACGTAACAATAAATCTTATTTGGCTAATGTTTTTTTTTGTATATGAGCGCTTTCAATGATGCGCAAAGGCAAATAAAATAAATAAATGTTATTAAAAATTATGTACTTTCGATATATTTAGAATATTAGTACAGATCTCAAGATTAAAGTACGTTTTAAAACAAAAAGCTTAAAAAGCTCATCGTTTTGTAGACGAAGTTATATGGGCGATTAAAGAACATTCTTAAAACGAAGTGCTACGGAGCTACGATATGAGCACAGTAGCATAATGTTCGTAGCACGTACCTAGTAATTAGCCGAGTTATTTTATTAATCTTTTTAATAAATTTATTAAATTGAATTGAGGAAGGAACTTTTTATTATATAAAAACCCAAGACAACACTTTAATGTGGTTAATTCTGAAATAGGGCACTTTCACATGCCATTCAATTTCGCTAAGAACACATGATTAATTTAGATTTTGAATATTGGGAATTTTTATTTATAATTCAAACTCAAACTCAAAATAACTTTATTCATATAGGTACCCAAGTACACTTATGAACGTCAACAGAAAATAATTTAAATTGATTCTAAATTTAAATTTACTACCAGTTCGAAAGTAAAGGGCATAGAGCGGGCAAGAAGAACTGGCAAGAAACTCTCAGCCACTCTTTTTAATCGCCCAGTTTTGAGTCATACAAATTGTTTATAAGGCAGAGTAGCCATTAATATTTGAATTGGAGTAAATGCCAAGGATAAGGATAATTTAAAAAATCGTTAAATGTATAAAAGCTTTATTGATTAACTTACATCTAACGAGAGTTTTGAATTTATTTAGTAATAATTCTCTAATTTCGCTTGGGAGGTTGTTGTAAAAACGATTACAATTTTCATATAAGGAGTGGTTTATCTTCTGGAGCCTGGTTGATCGTACGCTTAGATTTATTCTGTTTCGAGTATTAAACTGGTAAATTACCTCCCATATTCCATTTACCAGATATATATCATATCTAAGAGTGTGGTAAATCTAACAAGTTTTTGACATAGAGTCATAATTAGTGTTAAGTCTGGAATCTGAATCTTACTTCTCTTATATTATTTTAATGAAGTACCTACTTTACATTTATTTTTAATTGTCTCGATAAATAAATTTATGATATATTTCCGATTTCTTTAAAATCGTTTCTGGATGATATAAAATTATGTTATTACTTTGAATGTATGAAAATTACTTTGAAAGCTTACTACGTAATATACTATTTATGCCGTCCTATACAGTAAGAATGTTTTACTGGTTTGTGGCAGTTTTTTGGAAATTGTAATTGAAATTATAAATATGTATTATTAAATGTATGCGACCTATATTTTTAGCTACATTACCGCCTCTCGCCACAAGATGTCGCTAGTCGTTGTCGTGTAGGTTTAAGACGAGCGGTGACGCGCGACGGTGCACCGAGGCGTAATTGCGCGCGGCTATTATCTGGGCGGCGCTCACCGCGCATGGCGGCCGGTGCGAGCGGGATGCATTCGATAATACGTAAAACAAAACGAGGGAGTAATAATGGTAAAAAACGAAACACGCAAATTATAGTGAGAAATGAGGCAGCCGGTAGCGGTGGGGGCCGCGCTGTGCGGCGGGGGCCGGCAGTCGCGCTCGCTCGACGCACGCAGACCGCCCGCGCTCCTGCGCCGCTCGCGAGTGACAGTGCCTGAGTGACATGCGCCGTAGACCTCCCAACCATGAGCGGCAAGGGTTCTTCCTCACCGGACCTGCTCATGAATGTGAGTCAGCACAGATAAGGCTTTTAGGCTTCATATGTCCAAAATGGAATGAGAAATCATCCAATTCGTTTAATTGTATATAACTTTCGCGTTTACGTGACTAAGCGTTTCACTCCAACTTAAGTAATATATGTGTGCAAATAAACTTTATAGTCAATACAATCAATAGAGTCCCAAGAAATCTAAACGTTATGAGTGGAAATAGGGCAATCACCACGGTCAGTTAAACCGTATCCGTAAAACAAATCTGAACGAAATAGTTCATAAAATCGTCTGTTAGAAGACGCCCCTGGGTATTGTCGATTTAGCACGCACTATAAGCGACTTCGATAGACTCCCTTGAGTTCGACCTCCATTAGTATTCATGACATTGTCCCTCTATAGGGACCGACGCACATAATGTTACCAAACATTTCATGATTCATCGAAATCTATTTAACAAAAAATACAGCCCAGTAAAACTACTTATTAATATACAATTTAATGACTAAACATTAATTATTAAAGGTAGCGTTTAATTGGAATATATTTACGATTTTTGACATAAAAATGGGTGTTATTATGTAAGAATTGCCCATTTATGTTAGTTCCGAACGTTACCGGCACCTCGTAAAGTGGAAAGGTAATTCAATTAGTTGTAATCAAATAAAGGTCCGTCCAATATATTCCGTAACAAATTTTTAATGACACACAGGGCCTTCGTCCATTTTCTACTCAATTTCCTTTTCATATTAATCTAGAGACTACTGGCGCCAAAAATTATGCCGCGACGGCCGTGTCGGTCGGGGCTAATCAGTTTAGTGTTATATTGTTGGGCGAACGGCTCCTTTGTTATGAAAAATAAAGAAATTTATGCGTTTCGGCTCCGTGTGTGTTTTTTGTGAGAATGTAATTAATAATTCGGCGGCAAAACTAACAGTGTTTTCGTAGTTACGTCGGCTGTTTGATTGATGTGTGACGGACGATTAGTTCTAGTTCTTCCTAGAGAAATCATTTACTTACATTTAATTATCATTAGGTTTTTATCATATATATTATACTAACATCATTCACATAACGAGATTTCCAATTAAATAGACGTTTTAAAAGTAGGTACCTATTTGTTAACAAACAATGTATGAATTTTGTATTATGTAAATTAATTAAATGATACATTATAATAATTAATTATTATTCATAAAAATAAAAGATACAACTGTATATTTTAATTTTAAAACGATGGGTCAATACAAACTGCGTTTTTTTAAATATATAAATTCTTATTTGTATTATAGGCTTCACATACATATATGTTTGATTATTAGTAAACCTAAGTGCAACTAAAAAATTTATTTAATAAGACAAAGATTTTTCCTATAATTTCGGACAGGTATATTTCAAAACGTGTTTCACCGGAACTCTAGGTTGGCGGCTGCGTAGGCGCATCGCTTTTACATTTTACAAGTCACGATGTAACGTGCCCGTGCTTCAGGTGTAATGGAGGGATTTATTTGTTTTGTAATGGCATCGGCTACCAGCATGACTGGCTTAAACAATTGATGATATCGTAAATTATAATGGAGTATCTAGGATATTGAAAGAGCTCTTAACATGTACCAGGTTATCATGAAGTAACTAGCAGTTACTTACAACTCTTATAGAAGTAGCCAACCATTATTTTATTGCAATATACAATTCATTGGTGAATACTGCTCCTATAAACACTCAAACCTCTTTGAAGAATCATAAGTTAAAGAGCAAGCGCAGACACATGTATGTGTCCGTCGATTTAATAATTTATGGAAGATACCTTACTGCCTAGTAAGCATCGATAATTTTCCATATAATGTGCTGATAGAATCGGAAGCCATTAGTCAAAAATATGTTGTAGAAAATAGAGAAAATGCGGTAATTTAAATTACCTATGAGTTACATAGTTTTTCCCTCACCTATTTCATTTATACTGCAATAATTTCATGTCTGTAAAATCTGTGAAAAATTATGTGATATGTTTATTTATTATATTATTGTATTTACCGAAACCAAGTCATTTATTCGAGAAGCTCGCTCAAATATAACATTGTTGAAGCCATACAAATCGAATAGATTTAAAATCGCATAAAAACGCACACATACACATTCCCAATCACAAATAAAATATTTGTATATTGTCGTTGTTAGTTCATAATGTTATTCGTGTAATCCGTTTTTTATATTTAAAAAATTGTAAATATGTAGTATCTTTGAAAAATATCTGTGGTGTATAAATAAACTGTTTAATAGATAAAAATAAAACTACGATGAATTACTCTTAGTATAAACATAAAACTATACGTAAAATTAAACCTAAGTCAACTGAGACATTCACAAAAAATGCTTTTTTTAAACGGAGTCTCACCTGATGTTATGTGATATATGCTCATAGAAAATCACATTGCCAGATGGTTCACAAGTTGCCAGCCTTTTAAGAATTAGTCCGCTCTTTTCTTGAAGGACCCTAAGTCGAATTGTTTCTGCTAAAATAATTCAGTTTTAATCATCATGTTAATTAACCTAACCGGCTCTAAATATGTAAATTGAAAGCGTATAAGAACGCTAATTCCCCGAGGTTCAATGACCTGAGTCAAATTTTTTATTACCTACTGTTAAGTCTTATCCTGCATAAATGCCGGCAACTCAAAGTCCAGTTGCATAGAATACCGTTGACCGCAAACACTTGTTTTAATTGACCACGCGATGTTATATCGTTCAACTTTTTCTTCTCAAATTGCTCTAAAGTGCTTAATGAGAGATGCGTGCAATAGCGTTTCCCCGTACGTGAGCCGTATTTTACATAAATAGTTTTGCTCGACGAACTAATACCGATTCTCGGTACAGTAATTGCGAGTGTGACAGGCTTCCGTCGCGTTCAGAGGCCGACGGTGGTTGCGCGAAACGTCTACCAAACTACTAATACTAGTTATTTTACTGTAATAGTAAGCATGACATTTACACATAACGCATCGATGGTGAAGGCTTCAATTTGTTCCTGACATGCGCTACTGTTTAAAAATGTCATTTGAACAGCTGGAGGGCTTATCATATCGTGTGGATAACACTACATCATTACTTTAATAGACTTATATGGAGACTAAGATATCTACTACTATATATATATACGAGTATATATATATATATATATAATTACTACGCTGCAGTTGTCAGACGAATTTTAGGCAAAGAAGCAATTTTTTTAAAGCTTCATCCTTTTCCTCTAGGTAAAACTTTTAAAAGGAACTTTCAAATGTTATTTTGTAATACTTGTAGCTTGGGTTTGGTGGTTTTTTGTTGCATTTAGTTAGGTAAGTTGCGATTTCACGTGAAGCAGACTTCAAAAATTTGTGTATGGCATATGCATTTCAAATAAGTATTATGACACATGAAAGCATCTAGGCACTAGCATCTAGTTTTTTTCTAAATTTTGTTTAATTTTTCGTACCAGTAAGATAACGTTTTAAAAAAATAGATTTTTATTTCTTTAAATCGATTTTCTTGTTCTGTGTAAAGTGCAATAAACATAAAGTGATAAATTACTTAAGGAACTAATTCAGATATATAGAGGGATCATAAAATTATTTGAAAGTTGAATCAAATGCATTCCAGCACAATGGTAATTCAGAACAAGTCCGCTGACGTCACGCGCCAAGGTACTTACATAATTATATGGTTTGAGCAACAGGTTGAATGTATGATACAACAGATGTATCTCCAATGAATGAATATTACTTTTTCCTTTATCTTTGAGGCAAAGATACAGATTAATTGAACTATTACGTATTACAGACTGAAACGTTTCTAGTATCAACGCCTGCTTTTATGAAACAATTACCATCCCGGTGTACCGACATTGTATCAAGATGAAAGATGTTTGTAATTATTGTTATACATAGATAATATAATTAATAGAGTTTTCAGTCTTGGATTATCTGTTATAAAGATCTTTAAATTTATATGAGCACTGTCGGCCTAGTGGCTTCAGCGTGCGACTCTCATACCTGAGGCCGATCCCCGGCTGTGTACCAATGTGCGCATTTAACATTCTCTCGAACGGTGAAGGAAAACATCGTGGAACACCTTATAACCAAAAAGTCGATGGCGTGTGACAGGCACAAAAGGCCGAATTAGATTGAAAAATGATTGTGAAACATACAAAAGTCTGAGGCCCATATATTAAAGGTTGTAGCGCCACTGATTTATTTTATTTTAAAGATCTTTCAATACTAATTGGACATGCCCTGAAAAATACATATAAATACTGTTGGTAATAGATAGGTACTTTTTATAAATTTTGTTGAGGATAATGCATAATTCGACACGGCCCATTGCCATGTTTGATTCGCTTTGTCGTATCGCTTGGTTAAATACACTTGTAATTGTTTTGATGTTTAACTAAAAATAGTAAATAAAATCAAAAGATTTTATTAGCTTTCTTCGCCCGACGTTTTTCTCCTTTCCTTTCATCTATAATCACTTTCTTAAAATCAAAATATTCACTATCGATTCAAAACTTTATACATTCACTAACAATCTTAATCAACATCTTCTCAACCTGTCCTATGCTGAAACGGGACGTATTCTTCTTGTGCAACAGTAGTTTATTTATACAACTGTTAGTGTAGTAATTAATATTTTCGATGATATAACAATGATAACTGTCACGATTATAGTTAAAACAAGTTTTTTGCAATCTTATCTTTCATATGTAAGCAACGGGTGTTACATTAGGTTAATTTATTAAACACAAAAAACGCACCATTACTTAGCATCCTTAAATAAATCTTTAAAAACAATTGTAAGTCATAGTATTGTCTTTGATTGACATAACCTTTACACATTTAAAGAAAAAACTGTCACCGTGACCACGCACGCTCCTAAAGCACGCGAAACGTCGGATAAATTTAAAATTATGTTAAATAATTGTAAATTTATAATAATACATAACTTTAATCCGGTAAAAAGTTTTTTCTTTAATTGTAAG